ATGGATGTCAAGACCTCGTTCCTTAACGGGAACTTGACCGAGGATGTGTACATGACACAACTTGAAGGTTTTGTCGATCCAAGGAACCCGAGGATGGTGTGCAAGCTTCAGAGGTCCATTTATGGACTGAAGCAGGCTTCGAGGAATTCAAGGATGCCGAAATATAACAAACATGCCAATCATATAACGGGAATGTAACGCATTCATAAATCAATGAATCAATACAAAGTCAAAATGTCATATCACGGATCATCCCAGAGCATTACAACCAACAGTTCCTACTTTGCAAGGAGTAAAATCCTGGATAGGATCAGTCTTTTCAATGAAGGACTTAGGAGAACCCGCCTATATTTTGGGCATCAAGATCTATAGAGATAGATCGAGAAGGCTTCTTGGCCTAAGTCAGAGTACATACATTGACAAGGTCTTGAATCGGTTCAAGATGCAAGACTCCAAGAGGGGTGCCTTGCCAATGGGACATGACATGGCTCTTAGCAAGACTCAGTGTCCAAAGACACAGGATGAGCAAGAGCGCATGAGTAGGATTCCATATGCTTCGAAAATTGGATCCATCATGTACGCCATGTTGTGTACTCGTCCAGATGTATCATATGCATTGAGCATAACTAGTAGATATCAGTCTACACCAGGTGAGGCTCACTGGATTGCGGTCAAGAACATCCTTACGTACTTGAGAAGGACTAAGGATTTGTTCTTGGTGTATGGCAGATTGAAAGACGAGCTCGCTATAAGGGGTTATACCGATGCTAGTTTTCTGACCGACAGAGATGAATTCAGATCGCAGTCAGGTTACGTTTTCTGCCTGAACGGTGGGGCTATCAGTTGGAAGAGTTAGATTGAAAGACGAGCTCGCTATAAGGGGTTATACCGATGCTAGTTTTCTGACCGACAGAGATGAATTCAGATCGCAGTCAGGTTACGTTTTCTGCCTGAACGGTGGGGCTATCAGTTGGAAGAGTTCCAAACAGCCAAACGTGGCAGATTCGACTACAGAACCAGAGTACATAGTAGCATCGGATGCAGCTAAGGAATCTGTTTGGATAAGGAAATTCGTGGAAAACCTGGGCATCATTCCTAGCATTGCAAATCCCATTGAGTTGTACTGTGACAACAATGGTGCGATTGCGCAAGCTAAGGAACCCCAGTCACACCAGAGATCCAAACACATACTCAGGTGATTTCACTTGATTAGAGAAATCATCGACATAGGAGACGTGAAAATAAGCAGAGTGTCGACAGATGATAATATTGCCGACCCAATGACGAAGCCTCTCCCTTCGTCAAAGCATGATGGTCATGTTAGGGGTATGGGGATTAGATGCTTGTAGGATGTTGGTTTACTACTCTATGATGTACTGTTTATGAGCTTTGTTCAGATACATTCGATGTATTGATACTTTCTATGGTTTATATGAGAGTATTTGATTCATTACATGTTCTAGCATACTAGATCTGTTATGAAATCCGTGTATCATTATGAATGATACTAAACTCCCTAGTCTTGTGTCGTTATGGGAATAACGACATAATAAGACTAGTATGATGTGTGATTGATGATCATAGCGTTGATCATAGGTATTGGATACAATCACAGTCATAGGTATTCGTTGGAGAACGGAATACTGGATTGACCCGCATGAGATTGTCACATGGACTAGCGTCATGACTTGAATCTCATATGGCGGTTCCATGATTGGATCCTAAGACCTGAGATATCTACGGAATCCAACATGAGGAGTTGCATGCTTTGAATACGTCAAACGTTCTGCGTAACAGGAAAACTATAAAGGCGTGTATCAGGTACGAAACGAATCATGTAATGGATTGTAGATAGTCAAGATGGGATTTGTACCTCTCGTAAAAGAGAGAGATATCGCTAAGCCCCTCGTGTGAGCGAGACTGTAGAAATGTGTGGCCACACTATAGACGAAGATAAGGTGGCTTGTCCATGCCTTATGTTCGACGTATGATATCGCGATACAAAAGGATCATCAGCCGGAATCATCACTGGTGTTCGTAAGATCACGAACCAACTCTATTCGAGATAGGTAGTCATAGTGTCTTGCTAGAGACCGCCTATGACTTGTATATCCGAAATAGAGTTTTCGGATTATACTGCTATATCGAATGAGCCTACAGGGTCACACACGCAGGGAAGGACAAATGCACGAGAGAAAACGACGGAAAACCGAGTCGGACGGGTCGAGACCCGACGGTCCAGATGCGTGGTCTGTCCGTTCTGCTACCCAGAACGGACGGTCCACGACAACACGCAGACCGTCCGTTCTATGATGATAGAATGGACGGTCCGCACTAAACGTAGACCGTCCGTTCTGCCTTACTGGAACGGACGGTCCACGTGCAATTCCGGACCGTCCGTTCCAGGTTCCGGTTTTCCGAAAATTAAACCGAAATTAGGGGTTAAACACTTTATAAGAAAGAGATTAGAACCCTAATTCGGAAGTGACTTTTTGGTGCCGACTTTCAGAGGTTTGAGAGAGCTTTTGGGTGAGATCCAAAGAGTTCGAAAACCGAAGAGTCACGTTTTCTCGAAGCACAAAATCGAATAGAGATTCGAGTCCTAGCAGACAAGTTCCAATCGTTGGAATCCATCCCGAGGTGTGGATACGTGTAGAGGGCGAGGTAATCTTCCT